ACAAAACCTGGGGTGAGGGCATCCGCAAGAGGGACAGCACCAACCATCGAATCCACTGCTATGGGAGCCCTTGCTGTAACAAGCCTTCTAGAACAGTCCTTGGAGGTCCAACGTTCCTGGGGTGTTGTCAATGGCCTGAACCCGTCCAACGATATTCGTAATTGAATACCAGCTCGGGACTCATGACCACTTTTCCGTTTCTCCTCTCCCGTGTTCACTGGTGCTGCAGGGATTTCTACAAAAACAGAAACCCGAGCTTGCACAGGGGAGACATCTCTGAGCTGGCTACGTACGTAGGTACGGGGGCAGCACGGTCACGACCATGGTATGTTGACGGCAAGTTTGGGCCGACCAGGTCTCACCGCGTTCCCAAGAGGTGCTGCATTAGGAAAGGTGCAAGCCACATCAACCGAGATCTGTGTTCTATTTTTGCCAGTGCCACGATGGATGGATGGATGGATGGATGGATGGGGCCAACAGTAACCGGGCCGCTAATAACGCACAGGGACGACCCGAGGGCCGCTTGCCCCCCGCCCCCCGAACCAAAACCCCTGATGATCAACGAGGGACACGAGCAAAACACACTGCCACACCCTTATCAAGACCATCTCGACTTCCTTCTGAGAAAGCCAAAATTAGCGAAACTTTTGTCCTGTTGATACGCACTCCGCCAGAACTCGTGGGCTTTTCTGCCTCCTCATATACAAGAGGTGCCCGGAACCTCGGCAAGTTGATCTCAGGGGCATTTCAAGGTGTGTTGGTGAACAGCAGGCCTAGTTCATGATCTTCACATCGACGTGGTGCGTGGAACCACGTAATTGTCTCTGACCGCATTACGATGAACACGAATAGCTTGTTTTTCTAGAAGCTTGGAAGCGACCCACAGGGAAGGGACAGACACCTGGACACCCTCCCTGTGGGCTCGCTGTCAGCCCTATCCCGAAGCGCTGGTGCACCCCCCCCCGGCGACCCATCTAAGTCGCCCACCAGATCGCAAAGACCTTATCGCCAGAAGCACTTTGTCAGTCAGGGAGAAGTAAGTGTGTACTGCGTGGCCCGTAAACAAATCAGTGCCATGCCCAAATTGCTTTGCTTTGCTTGGCATCTAAGCCACTATCTCTCCGGAAAAACCGATATACACGCCATGCGCTGTCTGGGCAGTCTGGCAGTCTGCCAAGGGCGGTTTCGTGTCTCTGCCTGCGTGGAGCGCATACGCTAGAACGCAATAGCCAAGCCGTCGGTTCATGTGTTGCCAGGGATCGTGAGATATAGATAGATAGAGTATCTACAACTAATATGCAACTCACTGCCCAGCGGCAGCGAGAACCTGATCCAACATCGCGTCCAGAAAATGATGTGCAATCGAAATATGTCCCTCGCCCTGCAACAGATATGGCCTGACCTGGTCTTTGGGAAGATGCTCGACTATCCATTGCCCATGGCTGAACGGTGACATCATGTCCTGATCGCCATGATACACAATCACAGGCACCTTGATCTCACTAAACTCAAAGCCCCAGGGTCGAGTGAAGGCCAAATCATCGTCAACCCACCCGTCGACGCTATTCTTTAGCGACTCGCGAAAAGACTGCACAAAGTCTTCGCCCACACCCTCGCTCTCTAGAATGGCCTTTCTGTCTACCTCCGGTAGCAGGCTTGCCAACTGCTCGACGAGACCTGCTGGGTCGGCGGCAAGCAGCCCAGGCCGCTCCGCATTCGTGAATTTTGCAACGGCCTCTTCTCCTGCGAGGGCGGCTTGAAATTCGTGTATGTCTATATTTTTGGTGTGTTCAGTGAACCCGTTTCTCGTACGCGCAAGGTTTCATCGAAAGGAAAGCTCATTCGCACTCACTATCTTCACCAAACCCGGCGAAAAAGTCTAGTCCCTCCGCGTCGTAAGGAGCCACACCACAGACACAGAGCGTTGCGAGGCAGCCGGGCAGCCTGGCAGCAGCGGCCAGCGTGTGAGGCCCTATGCGATTTTGTTTTTAGTCCAGACCCAGGTAGTCGTTCAAAATAGTCTAGTGAAGTTGGGCACAAGGAAGAAAAGAAAACAGGGAATCAGAACTCACCACCGCCGCTCCTCCCTCCAACAGCGCACTCTTTTAGCCCAAGGTGTTGCAGCAAGGCCTCAATGTCCGGCACAACATCCACGATAGTCCTGCCACGCTGTCTGCTTGATCCACCGTACCCGGCGCGGTTGAGCGTGATCAACTTGATGCCTTTCCTCGCGCACGCGGCTTCCACGTCTGAGCCGACAAAGTACGACCCGGGCGTGCCATGGATGTAGACCAGAGGAAAGCCATCTGCGGATCCTGAAAGGCGGTACTCAAGCTTGCGACCGTCAGGCAGAGTAAGATCGTGAGCCATGATCGGTAGGTTGAGGGGTGTTTGTTGTAAGTGTCTCTGGGGTTTGAACCGAGGGCACGATCTTATCAAGCTATTCGCGAGAGTAGCGTGCCCTTTATATAAGCTACTACCGTCGGGAATTGTGATCGATGCGGGGCCGTTCACCAAAGGCTCCAAGCAGACCGCGACGACGGTTAAATCTCACAATGCATGTCAGAAGCTGTTCAACGTGCAGCCTATTAGGCATCCAACAATCTTTTCAGGCAACAATACGTAGACTGATTACAATGCATCGGGGCTCGGAGCTCGGTGAAGAATTTCGTGAAGTGCGCCCGCCCACTACTGTCTTCCCATGGCGAAAAGCCTCACTACGCCGGCCCCCCCCTCTCCGGGTTATTTCCTCGCGCTTTCACATTGTGAAATCTATCAATTCAACAAAATTGAAACATGAAGCGAATCGAGTTTGATTACATACTCTACTTGCATGTTTTTCTTTTGAGTTCGCACCACGTTCGGAAGGATCCGACATGCGAGACACCGTTTCGTCGATCATGCTCCAGTCTAGTTATGCCTTGGACTTCCACAAGCTCGAGTCAACGGGCTTACATTATGGAACTGCCAGAAGATCAGAGGAACTCTCGTTCATCCAGTGTCAGAGATTTTTGCCCGGAGGTCATTGGGTGTCGCGCTCTCACCGAGTAATTTTCTAAACCACCTGTTTACCACTCTCATTTTGGTGGCAGCTACCTAGCATCCGATATAACATCCACACGCTCGCTTCAAAATCGTCAAATAGTTCAAAACCTCCCACCCCAAGAATGAAGTCTTCTCTACCACTGGCTCTGGCCGCAGCCAGCCTGACAGCGGCCCAGGTGGCACCTCAGGCTCCCACAAACGCGCGGCCGCAACAGTTGGGTGTAAACACGACGTGCCCAGCAGTCATGGTCCTCACCGCTAGGGAGACAACAGCGCCGCCAGGCTTCGGATCCGCCATGACGCTGGTGAATTTGATACTGCAAGCTTTCCCGGGCACGAGCGCGGCGCAGTCGATCGAGTATCCTGCCGCGGGTGGGAACAACCAGCAGTATGCGCAGAGCGTGACAGCGGGCATCAGCGCCGTGTTGACCCAGTTGGAGATTTTTACGGTCCAATGCCCAGATAGCAAGATTGTGATGCATGGGTACTCGCAGGTATGTTGGGAGAATGGAGAGCGGATGGCATATAAGTAGAGACAAACAGCTGACCTGGGATATAGGGCGCGCAAATTATGGACGATGCTTTTGTATGTGTTCTCTTGCCTCAGTGCTGAATGTGTGCCGAAGACACATACTCGTCGACATCCTTACCGCGACAGACCATTTTCTTTTCACCAAATTTGATCGCTCTCGAGACTTTTCCCCTCCGGAAATGCCACGAAGACTGACAAGTAACATGCAGTGCGGTGGACCAGATGGCTCAAGCCTCACGACCAACAATGCAACCCTCGTGCCCGCAGCGACAGGCGCCAAGGTGGCCGCCCTTGTTTTCATGGGCGACCCGAGACATATCGGAGGAGAGGCTTTCAACCAAGGCAACGCAACGGCCGGAGGTGTAAGTGGCTCTTTTTTGATTTTATTTTTTAACGACCAGGACCAAGCGTCTCACCCGAGGCCAGCTGCCATCTTCTTCACGCTGTTGCTGACATCCCATCATGTGTATAGTTCGCCGCCCGCCCCGTTGGCTTCTCATGCCCGCTATACGAGGCTCGGATGGTGTCCTTCTGTGACTCCCCGGATCCATTCTGCAGCAATGGGACCGACATGGCTACCCACCAGGGTTATGGGCGAGAATATGGACAGCAGGCACTGCAGTTTGTGATGAGCAGACTCAACGGTTCCCGGGCAGCCGTTTCATCCAATACGAGTGCACCTGTATTCCGATTTGTGTAACGTATGGATCTTGTATATAATGTTGAAGAGATCTGATGTCCTCCTTTGCGGGAAACTTGGAGCAAAGGGGGTTGGTAGCAAAGATGCAAACGCTTCACTTCATTCTCCATGCGCATAATGAACAGATTACCCGAGATAACTGTTGGAATCAGCGCAAACGCTTCTGAAGAAATTCCAGAGAGTCATCTTGGAGAGGCTCTTGCTGAAAGAAACCATCCCGCTGAGTATAGTCACGAGATCGACAAATTCAAGTTGTTGATAGAAGCTGGAGCGCAGTAACTCTGATACTCATAATCATACTGAGAAATGACCATTCTACGCCTTCGCGCAAGTCCACACAAGCTCAAGCAGTTCATATTGTCTGGTGTGAACTTTCACTTCAAGAGTTCAATATGTTGATACATGTAACATTCCAAAGCTCTTATCACGAAGCTGTTCATACTAAGCCATTTGAACATACAATCCTCTGTACACTGTTATTGTGTAACTAGTAGCATCACTCAAATCAGACCTCGGCCCACACCCACATTGTGAATTTGTTTTAAAATGCTTCCACTTACTTGTCCAATTGAACTACTTAATACTACGGGGTTATATATCCCATATCTACTTTGGGGCTCTCCATGTGGAGCCTCCATGTCCGTCAGGACCCCACACGTGACTCGGGAAAACTAGAACTACCGGATATATACCATAGAAATCGGACAAATTCTCACTTGTTTCGGTCGGATGGCCGAGCGGTTATGGCGCCAGGTTAAGGTCACCTTAACAGTGTATCCTGGTGGAGCAATCCTCGTGGGTTCGAATCCCACTCCGATCAATTCAATTTTTATCACCTATTAGCTGCTTTAAGCAGTCCATTTTTTGTTTCCAAGTCTTTTGACATTTTTCAATTCTCTTTCTGCATCGTCATTCAACGCTTAGAGAAACACCGGGGTTATTTGAGCTGTAATGCTACGAGAAACCGGGGTCATTCGAGCTGCAATGCTACGAGAGTAACCAGGATTATTGAATCGATCGATGAAAGACTATATAAGCAAATCGCGTGCACACAGAAATTGGCAAAACCGCCGTCTACACAGTACGCAGCGTCGACCAGTGCTGCGAGAATGCTTGTTTGCGAACGAGGCCATGAGTGCCGGATTTGGACCAGCGCCCGCATATTTCGTTACACAGGCTCCGTACTGTCAGACGTTATATACTACTGTGTTAGCCCTCAAAGAGAGCACCCTCCGTTTGGAGGATAACATAAGGGTAATATAACTCAACACGTACCATGTACAGTACATATCTGCTACCCCCTGCTATCTAGGCACGAATCGCATTTAAAATGCTCAGCGATGCGCGAGGACTTCTCGTAGCAACACCGACAGACAGAATGATATTTCTGTTATTTAGACATCTCCTATTCCACCTGATATGCGAATTGCAGAAAACTCCGAGAATAATGTTATCCTTGTACTTCTCTGGTGTGGAAAAGCATGGGTCTGTGGCAATATTCCCTACTTCTCCTGCTCAAACTGCGCCCCCATACCAAACAGATTGTTTGCAAGTCGAGCTTCTCCGTCTTTCGTTGATGATTTAACCACAGACTGGCTAGGAGCCAGAGAAGAGACTTTTGCAGAGCCAAAAACAGAGCCTTGCTGGGCCGTGACACTCATGCGATCCTCAACGGATGTCTGACTGGGAGCTCCTCTGTGAAAACAGATATCAGGTGACGGTCAGGACAGGAACACAGATGATGGAAGCAAGGATCAGCGCAAGGATACGTAGGAATGGAGAGTTTTACCTGGTGGCATCTGCAGTAGAAGAGGGTTTGTACATGAAGGGCATTTTCAAGTCTTGAAACTTGGAAGGTATGATGTTGAAGGGGATGTTGGAGGAGGATTTTAGATAATTGTGAGAACGTCCGAAGGAATAGGAAGAGGCCACACTCAAGGGGACTTGATAGAGAGGTGAAACAAGGTTGTCTGCTGGAGCAATTTGCCTGACGTATGGGCAGAGAGGGAAAAGATTTCGAGGAGGGAGTATCAAGCCCTGAACCGAGTGAAGACTTTGTGATCGGTTGCTAAATCAAGAGAGAGGAGGAATGAGAGCAGCCCACTGGGGAGTTAATGGGAAGTATTTGTACCAAAAGATGAAGACCACCACCACGGGGGGGGGGGATGACTGCGCCAGTCCCCAGACAGAAGGAAGCTGGTCATGGGCATCTGTCGATCTGACTTGAAATACTGTCCGGTCTGTGTGAAGCCCTGTTCTCTAGCGAATATGGGGCCATGCGACTGCCTCTGAAAAATTCCATATCTCCATCCATTGGGCAGTCTTCTTTTGTGAGCTACAAGGTATAGAAACGTCACCCCTGTAAAAAAGGATGTTGTGCTATTGGATACTCTCTTTTTGTACTGAGGCTGATGTGGTGCTGCTCCCCTGGGCCTGAAGTCTCCGGCCGAGACCAGCCGTGCCGGGGCTACAGACGCATGTTCCTCCATCATCCTATTGGCTGGTCTCGTTTTGTTGCATGAGCAGGCACAGAGGTACATTGGCAGATCGGATCATCGCATCTGCGATCTGACTTCTGAATGGACTGTGTCTTTTTGTGGCCCCACCCTCGTGCGGTGGGAGAATCCGGGGCCGCACATTGGGCCTGTAATAAGGCAACCTTTTTGAAAAGGGTGCCTTCTCTCCAGCTGGCCTGCAGGAGCTTACAGACTATCCACTAACACATGCCAGAATGTGTCTCCAGTACATAAAACTGATACACCACCTGCAACATGTTGGGGTTTGTCTCCCAGCTTTCTTGTCTACCATCTCATCTCTCATCTCTCATCTATAAATTATTCAACTCCTTCCAGAATCCACGTCCGGCCTCTGATTGTCCTTCCAGAAAAAGAAGAAAAAACCCAATCAGAAGTGCACAGCCTCTCCACCATCACTCAGACTGTCATGGACCCTACCCCAGAGAAATACCTGAGCCTGCCCTACGAGCAGAGATGGGAGGCTCTCAAACCAGTCATTGTGAAGATGTTCCTCGATGATAATACCACCATACCCAAGCTATCCAAAAGGATGGACTTGGAATTCAGTTTCAAAGCAGAGTAAGTACTTGTCTTTTGCCATTTTTTGGAAGGCATCTAAGAATGAGCCCTGTCAACAAGATCTGACAGGCTGGCTCATAAGTAGCCAGGCCTCGGCTGGACAACCAACACTAACTCATAACACGTAGGGATCACCATTACCGGTACCAGTTCAAAAAGTGGAACATCAGGAAGCGCACCACGACTGTAGAGAAGGAGGCTGTCATCACAGCCTGTGGAAAGAAGCGCGCACAGCACGAGTTTGGTACATCGAACGTCAAACTTCAACAAGGCCTCGACGGGGATCGCGTGACGAAGAGCATTGACAAGAAACAGCTAAAGCGATACATCAATGATTCTATCCGCAAGGCATCCACTGTTTTCATCCGGCCAGGCTTGTAAGTTGAACACCCGCCAGCATCTCATCTATCCTTTTCTGACATGCCCGCAAATTTGCCTCAGGTTCATCGATCGAGACCTGCCTTATGCAGCATTGGCTCGAGGACACGGCGGAGACCCTGCTTATGATCGAGCTTCACCCGGTGGCCCTCAAACTCCAGGCTACATCACTGTATCCAGCCCCCCGAATCATTCTCCCGATGCAGGCTTTCAACAAAAGAAATTGTCGCCAACAACACAGCTATTACATAAGAAAGTGCTCATGGACAGGGCCCAGCTTCTCATGGAAGGCCGGGAGATGGAGTTGATGAGACAGATGAATCAAGAGGAGAAGGAGTGAGTCATCAGCAATCCGCTGAATTACTCAAAGAACACCACATTGACATGCATGTAAAAATGCAGGACCGCTGCCACTTGGCTCCATGACTTTTGGATGTTCTCTTTCGTCACGGCCAAATACTGGGGCAAAGGCCCGAAAGACTGGACACCTGCATTAATCGCGTTCAAGACATTTGCTGGAGTCGCCAACTTCTCTCCAGGCCACTCCGGAGAACGGCGGGAGCTCACAATGGGCCAATCCCCATCCATAGTGCCATCTGTGATCGATCCCCCAACACAGTTGTGCAACTGGTCGATACACCTTCCGAGCTTTCCAAGATACGAGGCCATCAATTCACCGCCCAGGAGCCCAACGGATGAGGATGGAGATTTGTTCGATGTGGAAGATGAGGCCACCTGGCGAGGATGGGATGGACTAGAAGAAGACCGTGATCTGCCTAGCACAATCACCAAAAGCCTCCAAGACAATTCGTTCTCGAGAGTCCAGCCAGAGGACTTGCCGTTTGAAGCAAATCGGGTCGTCGACATAGTCAGCGGACCACCAAACTATGCCAGTGTTGTGGAAGCTTTTGGATTCGCTATCATGTCTCGCAACGTGGAAACATTGGAAGACATTGAAGAAAAACATGATGAACTACCCTCATCCCTTCGCAGCATCTCACCTTTTCACCTTGCCGCCAAGTTTCTAGATGGATCGCGAGCGTGTTGCGGAGTGATGAACAACCTTTTGTACTCTCTGTCGGGGGATAACTCGATTGGCGTTAACTATACGGATAGCTCTGGTCTGACCGTTATGGACACTCTGTTCGTCTCAGTACTGCGGTCACACAGCTCAGTCACTCCTCTGATGATAGGGGGCAATATCGCCACAAGTGCCTCCTTCTTCAGAGGAGCTGATGTCGACATCTGCGGGAGATGGGATGCAGACTCGCCTTCGATTCGTCATCTTCACGCCATTGGGAAGACAGCTATACCGCACGAATGGAAGCATATGTTCTGTCACACATCGGTGCAGGCCGTTTGTCATTCTCTGACTGCAATCTTCATGCCTGGTTGGAGACCCAATATCAACACACCCAGCGGCTTATTTCTGAGACGGTGTCACTGCTGTGGCTTGGAGCTCCGACTTGGTCCGCTCCACGCTCTCGTCGTCGTAGCCTTCTTTCTGGCAAACTCAGGCCTCCCAGGAGAAACTCTTTTCGGCATGATTGCCTGTATGGTCTGTCTCTTGACTTTGAAGGCTGAATCGTCCCCAACCGCTGAGATTTCCGTTCCCGCACTCCTGGACCTCGATGAAAATTCAGAGTGTCAACACAGCCTTATGAACGCAGCTGAGCTTGCTTCCGCTGTCCCATATGAGATTGTTCACACATGGACACCTGAAGTACAATTAGGTTGGGAGGCGATTACAGAGTTGTTGGATCATTGCGCCCAGCGGGAGGAGAGTTTAGAAATTGCTGCAACCGGGGACTCAAGTGACAGATTTGGAGGCACTCTCTCCCATGAGGCAGAGGCACACTGGGACAACGATGTCTCCGACGGAGATCCCGACTCAGAGGCTGATGACGCCTGCCATCATATAATACATCAGCAGTATAATGAAATTGGAGAAGCCGTCGCTTGTGGAGATAAACGTCTGGGGACGATATGGGCTGCCATCCAGGTTGAGCTTTTGAATTACCGGAGACTCGAGGAGGGCGACCCATGGCCGTCCTCCCTCTTCAAGGTAGGGGACGTCGTCGAAGAGCTGCGATCAAAGGATGATCGAACTACCGGTAATGGGAGACTGATGGACAATTTTGGGGAAGGCGCTGTGCAGGCGTTCTCGCGTTGCGGTCTAATCTATCGAGCGAAGCATCCAGGCTGCGTCAGGAGAGAGGAAGCCTGCATCACGCACTTCGCCAATCTCGAGGATTGGAAGCGCACCACGTTTATCAATGCTAGAGACTATTGATTAAGCGCGATATTAATATCATTTATCATTATGCAAATGCCGTCAATCCACAAA